CTACTCACCGACAGGTCGGCAGTTCAAACTCACCAGCCCAGCTCCTTGTGTCTCGACAGCACTTCACAACAGTATCAACAAATACAGTGATAGACTGAGGTACTAAGGCTCAGAAGGGGTTTTGTTACTTGTCCAAAGGCACAGTCAGTAAATAGTTAGGAACCATATTAGAACAGTAATGGGATTTGTGACGTATCACGTTCAGACAAGAAAGACAAGGCACATCAGAAGGGTTGATTTGAGTAGAGTGTAGACAAAGGACTACTCACAAAGAGGAGGAGAAGAAAACACACAAAGAATAGCATAGGATCTTGGCACTAGTAAAAGGGGAGCTGTCTTTAACACTCCTAGTCTTCAGAGATCCCTGAAAAAGGGAAAGAGCCCCACCTAGATGGATTGGCACAGTGGCAGCAGCAATGGGCTCAAGAGTAGCAAGGATTGTGGGGCTGGAGCAGGACCGGGCAGTGTTTTGTTCTCTTATGCCTCAATTCCCTGTGAGTCGGTACTGACTCCACAGCACCTAACAAGGACAACAGCAGGTTTGAAGGCGTGAGAGGGAACCTGGTGACAGTAAGACTGTGTGGAGAGGGCTTGCTGACAGGAGCTGTGACTGATTTCAAGGGAGGGAAACAGCCAACCCTTGATGGCCCAGGTCAAGACACGCCTGGGTCATTAGTATCTTTACCTCTGTTTCCTCCTTCCCATTCCCTGCCCCACTGGTCCGAGGGTCCAGAGGTGGGGGATGGATTTGGATCCGTTAAGTCATGGAACAAGTCACTAAGCCAAACTGGCCATCAAACGCATCGTCCCTCATAAACGGCAGCGTTTATTGTGACCATGAGAGATGAGTTGTGTTGAGCCCCAAAGTTAGGATTGCTGGGTCGTTAGCTGGCTGCCTGGTGCAAGCTCCCCAAAGCTCCGGCAGCACTCAGGGCCGGAAGCAGCTTCTCACTTCCCAGTGTAGCCCTTGCTGATAATGAATTTCGAATCCCCGCTATCTGCGTAGCCAACGCCAGGCCAGTGCCTTCCCGTACGCTGAGCGGGGCCATAGCTCCTCTGAGAAGGGGTAGCACGACTGTCCAGAAACCGCAAGGTGTAGGTGGCGCAGGGGTTCCGGGAGCTGACGCGCAGTCCAAAGCCACTCCCTGCGCCTGAGAAACAGGCTGGCCAAGGCAGCTCCCAGTTGGGCTTCAGGCGCCAGCAGCCACGAAATCCGGCCAGTGTCCCTCCAGAGCTGGCGGGCAGAACACCGCTGCCGCGCCGACCGCCCTCACCTCCGCGCGGGGGAGGTTGGGGGTGGGAAGCGGAGCGCGCGCAGCTGCGAGCCCCCGAGGGACCGCCTCACTGTCGAGGAGTGCACGGATTCCGGGGACAGGAACTGGGACTTGGGGTCGCGGACGCTGGACGCCCAGGAAATGCCTCCTTTGCAGATCCGCAGGGGTAGAGGTGGGTCGTGGGCCGGGAAGGTTTCTGATCACTCCCAGGAACTAACTGGGGGCGGGATCCGCAGCTGCTAGTGTTTCCCCGCCAGATCCTAGAGACATTTCATCCTAGACACGGAGACAGTTCAGGCAGGAAATATATATACCACAGGGGTAGTTTGGCTCAAGCCCTCCACTTTACAGATGGGGAATTTCAGACAGAGGGTGATCAGACAGACGATGGTCACATAGTGGGGGTTAAGTAGCAGGGCCTGGAGGAAAATGGAAAGGAGAGACTTTCTAAGCTGACCCTGGCCCCCCTTTCAGATTAGGACCTTCGGATGCTCTAGGTGTACGCCCCGAAATTGTAATAAAAAAACCCAAACCAAATAAAACAAACCTTGCAGACACATTGATTTCGCTCTTTTCTAGATTTTCCAAGTGCAAAGAGTTTGGATACCTTTCTCAAAGATAAGCCCTTTTCCAGTATTGATGACCGCGCTTTCGAGTTTAGCGAAACCCTGATCTGCTTAACAATGGTTAAAAGCCGAGTTAGTTCACGGTCAGCTTCCTTCCTGTCAGCTCAAGCTGAGTTCACTCTCAGCTTCCTTCCTGTCAGCTGTGTGGAGCCTCAAGTTCCGGATCTGCAGAATGGGCTAATGAAAGAGATGTTGTTGTTGTTAAGTGCCGTCGAGTCGGTTCCGACCCATAGCGACCCTGTATAGGGTTTTCTAGGAGCAGCTGGTGAGCTTGAGCCGCCGACCTTGCAGTTCTAGTGGCTTTGCAGTCTGGCGCATTAACCCACAGCGCCACACCAGGACTCCATGAAAGAGACCGCGTTTGTCAAAGGCCGAACCAAGAGATGCTGCGGTTTGTGGGAATTTCGGGGCACAGTCTGGGGCGCCTGAGCACAGCGGGCAGACCAGCCTGGTCAACCAAAGGCCCAAAGAATCGTGCTGCGTCCACACTCTCCCTGTTCCCCACTCCTTTCTGTCGTTGCCTAGGTCCTAAAAGGAGTCCTGGTGTGGCGCTGTGGGTTAATGCGTCATATTTCAAAGTCGTTAGAACTGCAAGGTCGGCGGCTCAAGCTCACCAGCTGCTCCTTGGAAACTCCATACAGGGTCGCTATGGGTTGGAATCGACTCAAAGGCACTTAACAACAACAGGTCCTAAAAAACTCACTGATTTTGGGCTGCAGAGCCCTTAGGCGCTCTGTGCGGCAACTTCCAACGCCCTGGCCTTTGCTTCTAAGCGGGGTGTGGGGTGTGGTGGAGGGAACATCTCTAGTGACCTCAATTTACAATCACTCCCTTTTTTCTTTTTTCCTTTTACACTGACTTCTGTAACCCTGGACAGAGTTTTTTGTTTTTGTTTTTTTTTAATCAAAACTACTTTTAAAGATTCACAGCCTGCCAGTCCTGACATTAGACACTTAGAAGCTACAATTTACCTGAACATATACAAAGCATAAAACACACACAATCCACAAAAGCCCACAAACTCATAGTCATTTAAAGATCGAAGACAGTAATTTCATTTCCCACATAAATAACGTGAATTTGAAGATACACCATCCAGAGACGCTAACATTTTCCACCACACGCTTCCAAAACCCAACAAGTGCTCAGAAATGCATTTGTTCTTATGTATTTAGCATTCAAGATAAATAATAAATAAAACTATGGGTGAATATGTCACTTCCAAAGAACAAACACAACATCCCAGAGAGAAAGGGAAAGATGGGGAAGGACATTCTCTTTGAGAATAGAAAAGGGGGAAGAAAGTCCACTGCCTAAATAATTTCCCTTTCAACAGTTTTGTGGAGGAAGGAACATCTTGAGCCAAGTTAGTCAGAAGGAGGCGGCGAGGACCACCACTGGCCACACAGGTCTGGTGGCATCTGAGTTCTTTGCACTTTTCCGGGTCATAGCCCCCGCCCTCCAGCGTAGGTTCTAAAGTCAGACTAGCGCTTTCAGCCCGCTCCCAAAGGAGGAGAGTCCTACCCGGCATGGGGCTACGGGGAGTCCAGGACAACTGGGGACTTTTACTCAGGAATGCCCATTTACTGGGGCTGGTTCCGGACAGCGTAGCAAACGGACCAGGCCTCAGGTCAGTTCCGCTGAGCTTGCCGGGCCGGACGGTGAAATCCCGCGTAGGCGACGCTCGTCCCCCGGGTCGAAGCAGTAGCAGATGGTGGGAAGGAGTCGGCAGGAAATCTCTCGTCCCGGAAAGGCTCGCAGCCCGGCACCGGAGGCTCGCTGGCGCCGCAGGAGTCGGGTAGCAGGCACAGAAAACATGCTGAACACCTCAAAGGTGAGCTTGGGGACCCTGAGCTTCCGGTGTCCAAATGCCCGAGCAAGAATTTTGCAGGATGGATACCACACCTCCGTGTCCGCTTCCCCCAGAGACCGATTACAATTCCCTGCAAGCCCTGCTACCCCGCCCCCGCCGTTCCTTTTCGGGCGGAAGACAAGAGACTGGTTTCGAGTTAACGTCTACAATTAAATAAGTACAATTTAGTGCCTGATTTGCTCGAGTTGACGTTAAGTTTAAAAAAGTAGGAAAAACAAAATGAAAAACTAATAGTCACAGTCAAAGGACATCAAACAGGACTTTAGGAAGTGAAGGACAACGTTTCTAAAATAAAGGAAAATGTTGGCTTTAATATTTTTATCAGGGAAGATAGAAAAGTTTCTCAAACCTAACGTCCCCAAATCCATAGCCGATGAAACTTTCTACACGTGGTTTTCACACTCACTTTCGACGAGGAAACTTTACTAAACTCGTTTTCCCGGTTCATTTTTCCCTTTTCGCTCCCTTCCCCTGGTGTCCGAGACCTTTTCTGGGCAGTTTAAGGAGGTCAAGGAAGAGTTTACCTAAAAGGAGTGTAGGTTGACCCCAATTAATCGACAGCCCAAGAGAGATTAATTTCTGGCAAGGAATAAGAAAAGAAAATCACCCACACGCAAAAAAGACAGCGATTTCCAAACATGCTTTCTTAAAATTCTTAAGCGGTGCCTGTCCCGAAAAGGAATTCCCTCGGAATTTTCCGCTCGGGCTGGGTTAATTTGTGGACTGCCTGCATCTGTCTCTAGCTTGGCCCTCCCTCCTGTAATCTTGTTACCACGTCGCAACACACTAATATCGCGAGCCCGCCCTAAAATCATCTGGAGATGGGGCCAGTGCCCTGGCAACTGGGCGCTACGGCGAGGTTGGCTGTAGGGGAGCGAGTGCGGATATGCACACGGGTGCCGAAGAGGACCCTCGGTGGGGTAGAACCTCTCACAGCGTTAGGTCACTTAAGCATCCTTCCTAATTCTCCGCTACTGTCACAAGCCCCTTGACTCCGCCCCTCTGAGCCCGCTCCTTGCTCAGTACCCAATAGCAAATTCTGACTACTCTCCACCACCCCGAACCCTTTCCACACCCCCGTGTTCCGGAAACCGATTGGTTACTGAACCTTCGGCGAAGCGCCCATATTTGCATAGAGTTCGGGGTTTCTGGTAGGTGGAGCGAGCCGTCACTCCGGAGGGCCGGACCCGCCCACCCCACCTCAGTCTGGGGCTCCCTTCCTGCGCTGTTCTTCTCCGCAGCCTCCGCGGGCAAGTGCCGGGGCTGCTCTCAAGACCCAGAGCTCAGGACTGTGAGGAGGCAGCCCCGGCTAGCGGCCGTGCGTACCATCTGGAGTGGCCAGGGCCGTGAGCGTAACCTTCTCTTGGCCCAGACCTCAGCCTTCTCCTGGCGCGCCTCAGGAGTTGCTGCCACCCTACTTTCCGTTCCAGTTGCGGCTCCTCTCCCGGAAACATGTCCAGAGCCGCCGCCGCTACAGCTGCCGCCGCCACCTGGGGAAGAGCAGCAGCGGCGGCGGCGGCCGAGGGCGCCCAGGGGCAATAAGCCGAGCCGCCCGCGCGTCATCAGGCCAGGGAGCCCTCTCTACGCTCACTACTCCAACTGGCCCCGCGCCATGTGCTGAGCCATGTCCCTCGCCGAGCCCGCGGGCAGCGCATGGGGCAGCGCCTGAGCGGCGGCCGGTCCTGCCTCGATGTCCCCGGCCGGCTTCTACCGCAGCCCCTGCCGCCCCCGCCGCCCGTGAGAAGGAAGCTCGCGTTGCTCTTCGCCATGCTCTGCGTCTGGCTCTACATGTTTCTGTACTCGTGCGCCAGCTCGTGCGCCGCGGCGCCGGGGCTGCTGCTGTTAGGCTCCGGGTCCCGCGCCGCCCACGCCCCGTCAACCCTGACTGCGACTCGGGAAGGGGCACTCCACAGGCTGTCGTTCAGGCCGCCTCCTGCTACCCCACTGGGTGTGGGCCAAGAGGTGGTCGAAGGCGCCGCGAGCCAGGAGGAGCAGAGTCCCGAGGCGCCAGACTCCCTCAGCCCCATCTCGAGCTTCTTCAGCGGGTCCGGGAGTAAGCAGCTGCCGCAGGCCATCATCATCGGCGTGAAGAAGGGCGGCACAAGGGCGCTGCTAGAGTTCCTGCGCGTGCACCCTGACGTGCGCGCCGTGGGTGCCGAGCCCCACTTTTTCGACCGCAGCTACGACAAGGGCCTAGCCTGGTACCGGTGAGTTTCCCTGCGCGAGGAGGGGCCCCAGTAGCGATCCGGCACTGTTCAGCCCATTTCTCCACCCGGTAGAAGGAGAAGACGTGGCATGTGTTGGAGAAGTGGCAGGGGTACAATTTCGGGCCCTCGGGGTGGGGTGGGGAAGAAGAGGGACGATCGCACGGTGCGGGCTCAGCAACAGCGAGAATCCGCCCGGTGCACCAGGTCAGCTCTCCCCGCACCCCCTAGAATTTCGCTCGGAACGCTGGCGGCTCACCATCGAGCCCTAGAATTAAGAGGACGACCTTGCCACAAACTGAGACTCAGTTCAGGGAAGCCACCTGTGGTCTTGTCCCATACGAGTCAATTCAGTGTTGCTCTTATTTTCTGTCTCTGATGCGCGGGCGTTGGGCAGCGTGTGCTGCGCTCTGCGGGTCCGGTCTGCGTGCGTCCTAGACCAACTTTTAGAACAGCTTTTCACCATATGGGACCGAGGTGGGAAGGACGGCTTCCTGCCGAGACCGCTGGGAATATTTTAACTTTTTGTGTGTGTGACTGTGCTATGTGTTGCCAGAACCCGAAGGGAATCAGGACCCGAATTGCTCACGAGCCGCTTGAGCTTGGGAGGCTGAGTGGGGCTGGCGGCCGGGCGTCTCCGCCTGGCCAGCGTACACGGCGCGTGGAGCGGTGCTGGTCCCTGTCGGGCAGAGGTGCACACTGCAGCCGCCGGGAGCGGCGCGCAGCTTGGAAGGCTTCGCAGCGCCCGGGACCACAGACTGTCGGTTTGAGCCTCCAGTTTTTGGGTGCTGGGAGAAAGTAGGCAGAAACGCGGGCTCCGTAGAGTTTTTTGTTTTTTTTTTAATGTGGCGGCGCAAAGAATATTTGGGACCCAATGATTGATAAATGCAGGCTATTACGTGTTGCAGTTTTTGTAGTCTCTTCTCTTAAGAGGAGGTACGATCCCAAAGAGACAGCAGTCTCTTTGGGGTTATAATCATGACCCTTGCCCACTGCCTCCAACAGCTTCTCAACTGGTCTTTGGCGCGAGCTGTTGAGCTGACCCTCGGCCCCGGTATCTCTACTAGACCAATTAGCCGAAAGAAGGTCGAAACTTTGGAAAACAAAAATGAAAAGCGAACCGAACCCCACTTCCTGGCCCCACCCTTTCAGAAAGGGAGGGAATGGAGGCTAAAAGGGGCCAAAAGTTGAGACTATGGGCCTGACCCAGCGCCCTTTCCAGCATCGCCCTCCCGCCTCCCTTTTTTCTTTAATGATTTTCGTTATTGTCAGGAGTTGCCCAAGTATTGAGTTTAGCCAGCTGTGACAGTTTAGTGGAGAATTCCTGGGCTGTGGACACCGGAGGTTTAAGGATGCGACGCCCGAATTCAGATCCGGCTTCTGGTCACTCGTTGGGCCTCTGTAGTCCCTTAGTGCTCACATATGTGCCGGGGACAGAAGGCTGAAGAAGTAAATGCGTTGGTGCAGGTCAAGTGCCTGGCACATGGGGGCCTCCGCCCATTGTTTACTGTTATCGATTGTGTTGCATCACACTCCCCCCCCCCGTTTTTTTTTTTTTTTTCCACCACCAATCCCTCCTCCTCCTGGGATGATGATTCCGAGGCTGAGACGTTAAGAGCACCCTGCCGGGTAAAATCCTCCAGGACCGGAGGCACCTGGATTTTCTGAGATCAGACATACTTAGGATAGTGTTGGGAGGTACTACAGGAAAATAACGGAACTTATAATATCAGGTGGTTCTAGAAACCCCTGGAGCAGGCTGTGGAAATCCCCCACAGGAAGCTAACTTAATGCCATCTCTTAGGCGGCTGCCTTCCACCTGCCACGTTTCTTTTTGATTGGTTCAAAAATATCGAATAAAGACCAAAGTCGCCCAAGAAACCCTTGCCACGAACTTAACCGTTGGGGAACGCTGTCCGGGCGGGAGGTCGCCCTGCGGCTGCTGTTCTGGAGGTCCAGGGGCTTGACCCGACCTCCGGAGGCGGGAGATACATCATTACCTACCCCCCCCCACACACACACACCTCCCCCACCCCGGGGCCCCGAACCAGCCTTCCAAACTGATGGGCTGAACTGCCTGGGAGAAAAGCAACGAGGCCCCGCGGTGGTGACCCAGAGCAGCAAGCTGCAAACGTCGCCAACTTGTCCAAACGCGGCTTTCTCCCCGCTGCCCGATCGGGGTCGCGTGTTGCTGGACGTAGTTTAGTGATAAGCATTTCTAATAATTTGTCAAAAATATTCTGCTGTCTGGGTACCAGTGTGGACTTCACAGTTACTTCGCAGGCGACCATTGTGACTGTAAACAGATCTCACTAGGAGGAGAACTCTAGCTAGCTCAGAGCGCGACCACGCCGCCCTGGCTCCTCCGGCCGAGCTCCCGGCCCCGGAGCCGGAGTTGTCGCAGCCTGGCCAAAACCCTGCCTCCCTCCAGAGGTGTGCGCGGTGGTACCCTCCTCCGTCCGTGCAAACAAAAACCTAGTGGAGAAGAGTATAAATAATCATTAACCAGACAGACTTACAGTTCAGAAACAACTAGTAAATAGGAGAGATGGAGGCGTTTTGGAGGCATTTAGTGCAAAAACTCCGGGTATGGATACTGGAGCCGGAGAGACAACGATGGAATCTGTTTGAGAACGAGGCTCGGGAGGTGTCTGCGGAAACCCCAGGGCTCAAATCGTTAATGGGTGGAAGCTTTTGAAACACTGTGCTGATAGTGGTCTAAATGGTGGCCCAGGCTGGGCAGATTTGCATGAAGCTTTGGAATTTGTACTCCCTTCCATTTGACACTATGAGACACCATCAGCCAAACTGGAAGGGTTTGTTCGGGTAGGAGACCGAGAGGTTCTCTGCTGTCCTGTAATGGACTACAAAAAGCAAATGCACTGGAATGCGCTGTCCATCTGCCCGGGAACCCGAATTTGTTTTAGTTTGGGATTAAGACTCTTTCGGGGTTTACTTTTTCAGTTCATTATCCTATTCTTGCTGGAGTGAGACTCAAAGTTAGCAGGTGCTGATGAGGGAGGACCCCACTGAGTGGAGCCCTGAGACGGTCTGTGAAACCTGACTTTTACCTCTGTTTCTCCAGTGTTTGAGAAATTTGGGGCTGCAGTTAAGGAGAGCTTCACCGACATTAGTGAAGGTTCAGAAATCACTGCCACGAAACATTTAGGCTATGAATATTGTTTTGGACTTTGAATGCTATAACATGAAATATATACACAAATACATCCTTTAATACGTTTCTTTTTGGTTTGTGGTAAGTTTAGGTAGCGGTATGTTTCAAAATAACATTTTCTAGAATTGTAATGAACTCAGTTTGAGAATCAAGTTAGCGAAATATTTTCTGATTATTGTTATTTTTTAATACAGTAGTGTGTGTGTGTGGGGGGGGGGCTTCAAACAGTTCATGGAAAGAAAAAATAATGGAATTTTCCCAGGAACTTTTTGAAGCCCCTCTTTGGATGTGTTAGATTTAGGCAGGCCTTTTCTTCCCTATTGACTTCCCTTTCCATTTCCGGTTGTACAAAATGATCTGACAATTTAATGATGTGACCACATTAAACAAAGTCTGTAAGTATGTGAGAGTGGTTTAATAATGATGGGAGCTGCTGAATGTTTTCTCTCTGTTCCAGTCAACTGTTTAAAGTTTTACAGGATTAACAAATTTAATCCTCATTACAACCCTGTGAAGTAGGTACTTTAAACCTGAGGAGACATCAGCACAGCGAGGTTAAGTAAGTTGCCCAGTTGTCACAGTTAGGAAGTGAAAAGCTGATGTACCAACCCAGGCAACTCTCTTCATGAAGTAACCAAAACTTGATGTTAGTCAAATAGGATGAGTTTAAAACAAGGTTCGCTTTAAAAGAAAAGAGTATGACATGTTCCTGTAGACCTCAATATGTGCCTCTAACAGTATCATTCACTTGCAAAGAATAACACCTCCAGAAGCAGACTACTCAAACCAAAATTGGTTTCTAAGTAGAGTGGGGATAATTACAACATTGTGGTGGTTTAATTTCTTCACACAGGACAGTTAGAATCAAAGGAATCATTGAAATGCCACACAAAAATATCTTTCAAGTATAAAGGCTCAGAAAATATACTGAGGGTCTCTACTAAGGAGGGGCAGATTTCTTTTCCTTTTGCCCCATTTTAAGGCTAGGAGCCTTGGGATAAGGTTAGGTTAAGTGATGGGTTTCAAAACTTTTTGTAATGAATTTATTCATTAAAAAAAAAAATTACAGTGCTCAAATCAAGACTGAATACATTTGCTCTTATTAACAAGAAGACCTTTTTAAATAAACACTTTGAAGGGATTCTTTAGAATTATATTCTAAAACCTAGAAACTTCAGAAACTACTCTCTCGAAAGTTAATAGATGAAAACAGCAACTTCTTCAATTTTAAAAATCCTGAAAAATAATCCCTCCTCACCCCTACCCTCCAGTTTCTTCATCTATTTCTAAGAAACTGGTGGCAAAGACTATTTGTGTCTTCACTGAGGGAATTTTAAGATTAAATCTGATTGGGGACAATTCCTTTTGAAATAATTACACACATTCCTGGAGTTTGAACCAAGTAGGCAGCTAACTTTCAAGCTGTTAGGTGTAGATGAACAGTGTACATTTACATGCAACAATTTGAAATACAAACCGTCATGTTACCAAGCTGTCAAGATTTATTAGCAAGACAGTGTAGCATGTGTTGAACTCTGTTTTTAATTTGGCACCTAAATTAGACCATAAAATGGTTGATTAATCTTTTACAAGTTGAGGGGAAAATATAACATAAATTAACCTAATCATAAGTGTTTTCCCAGATGCTCTGAGTTAATAAAATAGTCAATATTTAATAGCAACCTATTTGTTTTAGATAAATGCTAAAATACATGAATTGAATTATACTTATTATCTACCAAATGATACATTATATTGTATAGGTCTCTAAAAATTAGGCTGCGGTTCATGTTTCAAAAGTGTACTTATGAAAAGAGAATAATACAAT